TCAAGTAAGAAGCCTGATTAAGGATGTACTGTAACTGGGGCTCCCTTAGGGAGATGGTTCCTAAGGGTGCAACCGCACCAATCTTCAACTCTCTCGAGAAGAGCTCTTGCAAAGTGTAAAGAATAAAAGTAAAACGGTAAAACTTAATATTGTTAAGCTCCGACTTATCTCAATTAAACTCCCTCAAGAGGATGTTGATTCTGTTGGGGTAGAAGAGTTCTCCTTTAATCTTCAAGTAGTCAGACTTGTACTAAAAACTCCCCTATCAAGTTACCCCGACCAACACTAGTATCTCCTTCTCCGTCAGAGTTGCCCAGGACCATTACCGTATCTCCAAAGGGCCTAAGGTGCCAGGGGCCTCTATTAGAAAGCTCCTACATATACATCAGTTCATGCGAGGTGTTTACCAATACACCTGCTGGAGTAAAAACTTCTGTGTATCAGAGTCTCTCCAGTTACTATCTGTCGAGACATCTAGGAAAGCTAATTAAATAACTCTCTTCCCATGTGCTATGACCTATGCAAGCACTTGTAGACATCAGCTCTCTTCCTGTTAAGTTCTACCTATCTTAACTGCGAACTTAGAAGGTCTGAGTCAATGACACTGGCGCGGAGAGCTGTGGTAGTAGCGACACCCATTGGCACTACCTATGGTCCCTTACCACTAGCACACCACTCACCATGATAAGTATCATGCTATTAGAGTCCTCAAACAACCTACAAAGAGCCTATGGCAAAGCGGCATATATAGGTATGATTGGTGTAAAACCTTCTCAGATGTCTTCGGCACTCCCAGGGACTACTCTGGGGACCCTTCCGGATAGCTCACGCTAACTCCGTCAGTTTTGGTCTATTTTATCATGTTCTTTTCAGAAATTGTACTTGACCTTCTTGCCTTGGCCTCCTTATATATCCTATGAACAGCCTCTGGTAGGATGGACGGCAGCTTCCTCCATCCAGTATTATGGACATGTCTCCATAGACCCTATTTAACTTGTAAGATGGCAACTCCACCCATTTTGGCCCATGACACCCGGGGCCAACCCTGGGGCCACAAGTATCTTACAATTAATTCTGCCAAGTTACAGCATGTTTGAAGCACTATAGCTCCTCCCATAGTCTCCCCATCAGTATGCACGCAAGTGCCTGTTGATCGTCATTGCATAACAAACAATCCTAACATTTTCCAAAATTCCTGCAAGAACATTTCTGATGCAAGGTACTAGGGTAATAGTATCCCAAAGGTACAGTAAGTATGTCCATGGTGTTACGAAACTGGTCTCTATGGTAGGGTAATGTTATTCTCCTAAACAGGATAAACTCACTCAGCCTTCTGACCTATACTTCGGCTGGAGCGGACATAGTCACGATACTTCCACTAATTAGGTACACCTATTCCTGAAGCATCTTCTGTTTTTCACGAAACTCAGACCATCTGGTTTCCATTGAACATGCGCCAGCATGCCAGCCTAGCCTATCAGGTAACCTCTTGGTCTTATGTATAGGTCTAGACTTAGGTTACTATAGCTCTATAACATAGGGTCATTACAGAATCTCATGACAATGATCCAGCAGTTTACTGACTAGCACTATATCTGGAAGATAAACAACACATATATTTTGATCCACATACTGGGCATGGGATTGAGCTGGTTCAGCAAGAGCATACTAGGAATACAAGTCTAACAGCTTGATATAAGTCCAATATAGAGCATCCAGAAAGGAGGTCTATATTCTATCCAGATTATGCTACTCAATATATACCTTAACTCAAAAAACTACAACCAACTTATTGTATAACATATATACTACCTTACAAGAACATATAAGCTAATAAATTGCTTGCTACTAGATATGTTTTTGATAGGAAAGAAAGTAAATAGAAATCTTGAAAACAAGACTCTGTTGTTGGATGAATCTATTTTGTTAGGCTAAAGGGAAAAGAATTGTTTTATCTATGAATGCTTCTCTATTACTGTCCAGTAGCAACATCCTTCTAGGATTAAAGAACTGTTAATGAAGAAAGAAATACCAGAGCCACATTTCATAAGGCTGGTGTAGGACTTGGACTACTATAGAATGATTATGAGTGGGATGCCTGTCTTCTGGAAGTAACTACTATTCAAATAAGAAGGCAGCTTCAACTATTATTTGTTATTATACTTGTGAAGCCAAATCTATTAGATCCAGTTAAGCTGTAGAGTACTTATCAGGATTTCCTCTCTGATGACTGTCAATATGTTTTAGTATATCAACTAGGTATTCAAAGTCCAACACAAGCCGAGATATATAGTCTTTGTTTATATTATATTGAAGAGGCATTCTATGATAGTGGTAAAACCTTAAATAACTTTGGACTTCCACTTCCTTTACCCCATTTAAATTACAATCAAGCAAGTAGTGGCAGTGGAAACAAACTACTTAATAATCAACTCAACTGGAATCAGGATGAATTGCTAGCTGAGATTGAAGATTTAGAACCAAAACTGAATACAGTACAACAAAGTTCCTATGAAAAAGTCTTAAGATCAGTCTTCCAACAAGAGCCACAGATATTTTTTCTAGATGGTCCTGAAGGGACTGGAAAACCCTTTCTAGAAAATCTACTTCTAGCAAATATGCTTAGTACTGGAAAAATTGCCTTAGCAGTGGCATCAAGTGGAATTGCTGCTATTTTGCTTAATAGAGGATGAACTGCTCATTCTACCTTCAAAATCCGCTTGGTTTTAGACAATAAAGTATATGTTCTATCAACTATGGTTCAGCAGCAGCAGAAGTATTCTCTAAGACAGACCTCATAATCTGAGATGAAGCAACAATGCAGCACAAGAATGTATTTGATACTGTATCACACATGCCAGTGCTGTCTGATATTTGTAAAGATACATGACCTTTTGGTAGTATCACAACACTATTTCGTAGAGACTTTAGGCAGAAGGTCCAAGCTCTCAAATTGTCAATTCTACTCTCAAAACATCTCAGATATGGTTCAATATATATCTTCTGCAATTAGATCAAAATGTTAGACTTCTGCATCCAAATCTTACATCTGCATTAAGAGAAAATCAGCAAGAGTTTGCATCCTAGCTCCTGAAAGTTGGTATAAATACAATAGATACTATCTTCAATACAGGAGGTAAAGGACAGCTTAAGTTGAGGCCAGAAATGATACTGGCAGTTAATTCTTTAGAAAGTCTAATAGTAGAGATCTATCCTTTGATAGTTGTTAATATATGGCTTTTGGATCAAGCAATGATTGAGTTTTTTACTGAATGTACTATCTTAGCACTACGGAATGCAGAAGTTGATTTAATAAATATGGCTATATTCATTAGTCAGCCTAATTTCAACACCCTTCAGACATATTTAAGTGCTGATAGTATTTCTGATGAGGATCAGACTATATATACTCCAGAGTAGTTAAACACCTTAAATCCCCCTGGCCTCCCTCCTCATAAGTTAACTCTTAAAGTTGGTGTACCAATCATGCTACTAAGAAATCTTAATCCAAGACAAGGTTTGTGTAATGGTATACAGCTGCTGGTAGCTAGGCTTGTTAAAAATCTGATTCAAGGTATGTAATATTCAATTTGAATACCTGGAAGAGAATTTATATCCTATACCAAGCTGAGTATAATTAAGTAATCAATATTAACAAGTACATATATATTTAGATGATAGGAGTTATAATAATAAGATCAAAGAAAGGAACACAAGTTCTTCTAATACAGATACAGATAATATGTCAATCTACGCAAGAGCTTTCAGTTGCTTTAACAAGATTCCAGTTTCCAGTTCAGCTAGCATATGCTATGACAATAAATAGAGCTCAAGGACAATCCCTAAAGTATATTGGAATTGACTTAAGAGAAGAGGGTTTCAGTTATGAGCAATTACATATTGCTTTGTCTAGGGCTACCTGTAGTAAACAAGTAAAGATATTAACTTCAACAGGAGGTGGAATAAGAGTACAAGAATTGCATTCATGTAGAAGTGTTGTATATGAGTGTTGTTATGGGAAAAAGAGTACAATTGCTTTTTAGGTGTTTTGAGTTACTTACTTTTAGTTTGCATGGCAACCAAAGCCTTCTTGAGAAAAAGGGAAAAACATGTTTTGACAAAGAAATTGAAACAACTCAACAACCAATAAATTAAATAGTACAAAAATAAAAGATAGATAATACTTATTGTTGTTTCTATAATTCTATGTAAAAGATTTTGAATTTTAATTAAGAATTCAAAATTAATATACATTAAGGAAAGATATAATAGCTGAGTAAGCAGAATTAATAGAATTATTAACTTTGATCTACTGATTTAAGCTTGTATTTTCTTGTCTTACAACAGGTTAATAATATCTGGAAAGTATACAACATGAATTGATATTTTACTATACTTTTTAATAACAACAGATTGTATTCTTAAAAATATTTCAAAACTTGCAGGCAGGTAGATCTTGAGGTCAGCTACCATTCTATATAAAAAAATATTTTGCCATAATTACAAAAATAATCATTACAGACCCACTATTGCTCAAATTTTAAAATGAAATATATTTCAAGAAGCTAGGAAGATACTCTACCATATACTCTAGTCTCAGAATCATTCATCTAGTTTTGTGGCTGTTGGCAATGGTTATCCTTTTCGCTTAAATGTACCTATATTCTAAGGTTTTTGTTGACTGAATGAAATTGTCATCTATTTTTTTCCTTATTTGTTTCTTAGTTTATAGTCAATAATATCTTAAATTTCAATTATTAATAGCATATTTGTTAAAGCTGTATGATAGAAAAAATTATATACTTTATGATACTAATTTCAGAATATTTAATTTAAGAAGCTGGCTTTAATATATTGTGTGTTATAAACCAGTGTCGTAACATACGGGCAAGTACTTGTACTTGTATATAAATCACATCAGAAAACATATAAGAATGAAATATAATGTCTCAGCTAGTAAGCAATAAACCTAGCCCTTGATAGGCATTTCATTTAGGAATAAAACTTGTAAAGTTACTTAATTCATAAATGCTATCTTCGCTAACCACCCCCAGATTATGTGATTACTGATCCTAACCTTTATTTAAAGTACAAAATACAAATAAAACCCCTATTTTTTATGCTTACTAAGCATTTGGCTCAATTGCCGCCTCTACAGGTTTATCGCGACCGGAACCATACCTTTTGCACACAAGGAACCATACATTCCCACGACTCTACGAAGCACGTGACAAACGACGCGCGGGGCTTCCAGCTTGACCTTCCCATCTTGCGTCGATCGATGCCTTTAAATTCCCACACACCGCCCCGTTTCCATTAGACTACACCCATTTTCCCTCTCTGGTCCTCACCGAGACCCCACACTCTCATTTTGTTTGACATGCCTTGGACCAGCACCACCGAGCATTCCGACGCAGACAAATCGCCCGCCATGTCGCTCCTACCCGAACTTCTTCTCACAGTGCTCTTCGGGGCACAAGCCAGCTTCACCCATCCGGGGATCATCCTTCCGTCGAAAGAGCTGCTGGGCGATTCAGAATTGAAAGCGATAATTAAGAGGACGCAGAAGGGTCGGGACGCCAGGTGTGCTGACAACCCATCTTTGGCTACTATGATATTGGTTGCAACAGCCATGCCACTTTCACCGGAGCCATGCTGGAGAGCCTGCTGACGGTGTGCCTCTTTTTCCTTTCCACAGAGAGGTTTTAGGATTCTCGCCTAGGATATGGGAGGCCCTAACGGAAACACTTCGGGCCGGAAACGATCAATTGACTACTAATAAGTATAATCTAGTTCCCCGGGTACGTGACCTCGTGATACTTGCGAGGAATCTCCTTGCCACTAAGGAAAGGGCTCAGAATTATGCTTCGTAAGATCTCTTATGTGATCTTTATTTTGGAATGGAATATCTCAGTAATTTGTTTTGTCTCCATAGAGATGAAGGGTTCGAAGCTGAGGTTCGAAGACTGCTGGATATATGCATTGATAAAGCCAGCAAACCTATCGCGCCAAACATTGACAAGCAAACACATGAGACAGAAATGCACATCAAGGGAAACTGTATGTACCAGTTCGCCCATAAATTCTATCGGTACGCAATACCGACCGACTAACATTAGTATTTTAGACAAGAAAGTCATGATCACTACCCTTCAATTTCTCAACAATCTCATGAGCCAAAATGAAACTCGCAAGCTACACGTCTGGCTTCACATGTTTGGTACCCCGGCTGCATCCGCCCCGCCGAACCCGGCAGTACCGGCCAAGAGTTCTCAGAAACCTAAGGGAAAGAGTTCTCAGGTAAATAAGCCTTCGCCCGGCTCCGGTGTAGGCATTGTCGGCTCAAGTGCGCTTGGCGCGAGGCATTCCCATAAGGAGACTGTAGCCAAGTGTAATTTTTTGTCTGCTGGCTTTAATGCAAAATATTACAAACCCGGATTTCTCACAGAAGTACCCCGGTTACTCCAACCAGATGAGATTCAGCCTTTGCCGATGATGCTCCAGAATGGGGTAGTGCCGTTGGAAGGAACGGATCATGCTATGCAAGCTGTTAGGTGCAAGCTGATGTTGGCCCAGGGCTATGGGCGCAGCTTGCTACGAGAGATTCTTGTCTTTCTTGGAGCCTGGGAGGTTGACGAGGATGACTTTTGCTTCAGAATGATGTGAGTCCTTTTGAATTAAATATTTTGGCTTTTAAGTAGCTAACCGATGTAAATATTGCAGGGCGCAAGTCACCGAAGCTATACTTCTTAATGGCTTAATACCCTACGCATATGAATCTTTCAGAGAGTAAACTCACCCTACAATACTGTTTTACTATCTACTAACGGTGTTTTCCAACTCAGTGAGAAAGACATTGTCACTCCGGCTCAGTCGGTGCTGCTGAAGCTCCTAGCCTCCGTGTATCGACAGCCCGAGGCCGGAAGAGACCACAGCACAAGCTCCTCATCTTGCTCCTTCGGCATCTCCACTCCATCGGTATTATCGGAGTCACCGACCTCACCAGTCACAGATTTCGAAGAGGCCTTCGATCCCCCACCGATAATTGAAAGCTCCATACCAACCTTCTTCGTTGCAGTCCTTCGCAAACAAGTCATACCCTCGACAATCAGGATCATCAAACTTCAGGGGGCTATCCGAGAAGGCAAGGCAAAAAAGGAGTCGTTCGAATTGAGCCTGTGGGACTTGGATCGTATCTACGAGGGGCTCTATCAATTTTTCGAATTACTCGTACTGTTCTCGGAGGATGAGGAAGCCAAAAGGGTTCTGATATCGAGCGACAAGGGGATAGTCGGAGATCTAGTGGTATTCCTGAGGGAGTTGGATAAAGCTATCCCCCGTTGGGTAGCATCGAAATCAACCCCGCAACCACCGTCGCCCTCGCCATCCCCTCCACAAGAGAAGGAGACGGGAAAGGGGGGATCGGGCAAGGCACTGAAAGTCAACGAAGCATACCGTGTGGAGCGACCATTCGACGTCTACCCTAACTTTAAGGACGGAGAAGGCAGCCGTGACGAGAGTGAGGGTGCGGATGATGAGGAGCCAAACGATGACAGGGGGCTCTCTGACCCGGAGGAGTTTACGTGGCCCCATATGAAACGGTACCTCGTCATGCTGCTTAGTGGCTTCTCATGGCAAAACAAGGCTGTACAAGACCTTGTTCGGGAGAAAGGTGGTTTACAGGCTGTACTAAATCAGTGTATGATCGACGATGACAATCCTTGTATGTCTATTTTGCTACCCTATGAGCTTGGGATAAAAAAAGTACTGATCCCTTACACAGATATCCGTGAGCACGCAATCCTATGCATCAGAAACCTCCTGGAGAACAACCCGGAGAACCAAAAAGTAGTGAAAGCGCTCGAAGCTATACAAGCCATTCCCAACGAGGTTCTGGATCGCCACGGATATGAACATTACTTTGATGACGCTGGCAGAGTGCAGTTGAGGAAGACAAAGGGCAAGGGAACTTCGAAATAATTTACCTAACCACCTGAAAAAAAAAAATGAATTTTTTTTGTTTGTATAAGGCCCTATTCGGCATGCTATAAATACCATGGTATTTTTGTTTTTATGGGATTTTTTCCATGGTTTTATTAAAATGAATTGGCAGGGTGTTTAGCATGTCAAATATACCATAATATTCTTATAAAAATACTAGGATATTACTATGAAGGTTTATTTTGTGATATCCAACTAGGGTTTAGAACAAAATGAAGAAAAACAAGTAAGCAAATGATATAATAATATTAGAAGGAACAATTATACAAAATAGACAAGAATATATTTTCTTGGCTAACCTTAGACAACTTTTGCTAGTAATTACTTGTTTTCAACTCTTATATAAATTGTAGATAGGAGAACATAATTTAGATCCTAGATATTCATTATGACACTTGACTATTTGCTGATTTTATGTTAGTAACTATCTGATTGACTGAATGGATGTAAAGACCGAGGATATATCACAGGTACTTTTACTTAGAGAATGATTTTATTATCTGCTTATAGAATCAATCTTAAGGCAGATATCTGATAACTGTACAAGAATCTGATAAAGCTGCCCTAGAGTAAAAAAATCCTTATTAAGAATCCACCAACTACCAAATGCCTTTATTTTCTGAAAAACCATGGTATTTCCATTTCAACTTATAAGGTATTTCAAGAAATACCATGTTTTTTTTAAAATAGTTTATGGCAAACAGGGCCTAATTCTTGCTGTGGTTGTACCAACTATTACAATTTACTTGTAATAACACTTTCCATATTAACAATAGGAGGTTAGTGATAAGACTAATATATATCATATCTATTCTCCCGGGTTTAGGGGTTTGACGTAGAGCCACTGTGATGGTGGTGGTAGCTGATAGCGGAGACTGCGTACAGGAGTAGAGCAATTAGTAGAAGGGTATACATTTTTGGGACCATAACTCCAAAGGGGTATTAAAGAAGCAGGAGTTATATAACTGGGGAGCTTTTGAGCTACTATATTGGGGCACAGGAGAGAGAAATCGGGAGTACGAGTGATGTTCTGTGAACTATTCATTTCTTTTGAGCACAAAGGATTAGACAGCCTGCACCTTCTCACTTGCTCAAAATAATTCCTATCAGGCTTTGAGAGGCCACTCAGGGTAGTAGGTAGTATCTCCAAAACCCTCACAATATCAGGTCTACATAGCAAGTTATGAGGCTGCAAATGACCCAACTGGAGTTCTGAAATCTATGGTCAACATTACCCTCTTGATGCTATGGATTCTAGCAAGTTTGGGTGTAAGGGATTCAAATCAAAACAACGGCACAATTAATTCACGCATGATGTGCTGCAAGGAAGGATTTTCTTTTGTCTATTTTGGTTGGATATAAAAACTTTCTCTCTCTGTTATGTAGTATGTGTCTTTCAGGTATGGGAACTATACTGGAATATTGATGAATGGTATAGCCTATTAGTAATTCTTGAAGACTCATACCACCTGCTGACAGACTGCAACACCATGAAGCATGCTTGGTCGGGCCTGGAAATTTCGCTATAGTATCATGGAGCTTGGGAATCTTATATAGCTAGAGGTGAGTGCAGAAAAGCTCCTTCAATGAATTTCCCAGGTCTTAAGTAAATGCGGAGTGACCTCAACTTTAAGGATGGCATTGTCAGATCCCATTTATCACTGGGGGAATGCAGGTTATCATTGTATTGGAATTCCTCCTCTACTGCCTAATCAGATATAGTCTTGTAGGCAGACTTAGGATGGTCCTCCTTTTAGGATACATTTAGTTTATGTAGATTGCAGCCGTGATATCATTGCTGTATAGTACTGGGATTGTTCTCATGTACCAGCAGAGCATGGGGGGTCGTATATATGTGAGTGTTAGTAGTCATATATTCTGTTAAAATAGCTTCCTACAAACCTAGGAAATCCATCAAGGTGCTTTCCTCTCTCATTAACCTATAGCTGTATAACAGGAAGGGGTCTGAGGGTTTGGGTAGACTAAGACACACCAATATCAAAGGGTGTTTGGGTATGAGGGGGCTGGGTACAAGCATACAATAAGTAGAGTTTATACTGGGCGAGAATGTTCAAGTATCTGTTAAGAATCCTGCTGGGGATGGGGGTGCAACAAGTAACAATTCTTATCTTGGTATCAGGTAATAGTTCTTAGGCAGTTGCCTACATGACGTTGATAGTCAAGTCCTTTAACTTCTATCTTATTACGCCTATTTCTTTAATCTTCTTAAGTCCTCGCTTAGGACTTACTTTTGTGTCATGGTAGGAAAGATAGTTTCTGGGCTCTTAAAGTAGGATAGGGAGTATAAAGGTAGTTTATTATAAAATAATAAGTGTAGGAAATAAACTAGAAGAATGTATGAAGAGCTCATACTTGAGGCTCTAGTGACCCTGTATATATTTGCTCTTCACCTGGTGTGACTCATACCTTGCATCACACAAACCTTGTAATTCATAACCATGAGTCATATGAAATCCATCAGCTAACTCTTATGAGTTGCCGCACAATATACCTTAAACCAATCAAAACTTAGTAACTAAGTCAGGTGCACAACTAGGGTTACCTGAGTGAAACCCATGACTTACAGCTTGAGTCCTGTATGAAAATCATAACATCGTATGACTCACAACTGTGTGTCATGAACAGGTAAACATAATAACCTATGGTGTACTAATATGCATTATATGAAAATCCAACATACCTATAACTTGGAATCCTGAGCTATGTAAAATTTGTTGAATTTTCTAATTCGTTTCATATGTATATTCTTCTTGATAATATCGTATATTCCTCTACTTAGTATTATTTCTAGTTCACGGACATTACTACAGCGGAGTATGTATTACGTATATTTCATTGATATTTCATGATACGATTAGGGGATTATGGCGTGCTTTTCTTATCTGGTGTTCGGGTTTATTTCTTACATTTTATGCATCATCATGCATGGTCATCGGTCATTTGATTTACAATTATGTTCTAATTATCTGTTCACACCACCTCAGATTTACGCATGTTTTATGGGATTTCCTTGGCAGTTCTTTAGGGTCAAACACGTTCGCAGTTATGTTTTTCCTACTTATGTTACGGTCAAACACGTCGATACTTATGTTTTCCCTTACATTTCCTCTTAGTTACGTGAAGGATGCGCACCTGTATAAATAGGGGTTACCACCCATCTCGCTTAAGAGAATTAAGCACAAGAACTACTACCAATCTACCTTCATACAAAATTCCTCCTCGCTTAGCGTGCCCGCAGTATACTCTTACTACTGTGTCGTACTTTCGTACAAAGTTATTAAGCTAGTGCTGTACCCACACATTTGAACAAAATTTACCTTGCTTAGTTACAGTTTGTGACAGTATCTGGGGGTTTAGGGTCCTGGTTCAGGGGCTCAGGTCTTGCGTAATCAAGAGAGAGAGAGAAGTGTATTTCTTAGGTACAGGTATTCAAATTCAATCTAATTTTATTTATACCAGTCGTGTCAAACAGGTACATGATCCAGTCCTGTTCCAGCAACAGGTTAGTGCAAAGTCGAACTACCTACTCATACAACTAAATACCACATATTGAGACCTCCAAACTCAAACCTTTCAGCCCTGTTACTAATGTCTAGGAATACCACAAGCCAACACCTCCACGCAGCAAACCCACAGAAGCTAAGCACAAGTCTATGAACAGTCTAGCACCTATCTGCTCCACCTAGCTAGGCTACAGGAATTCTAATCAAATCAAATAAAATACTACTACTAGCAGCACTACTCTGGCCTCGTAATCTACACCTAAAGGTGTAATTATAAATAAAAGAAATCACTCTCCTACAACCTACCAGTAACCCAGGCAAGGATTTAGATTGCAAGGAGAAGAAGCACCATGACACTCCCTCAGCAACCAGTTTTCCAGATCCCTTCCCACCATAGCTGACCTAAGCTACCCTAGGAGTTGGTGTTATTATTATACATATTCTAATCTACGTAGAGTTGTCTATATCTACCACTTCTTTATGTTCCTCAGAAGCATCTGACTCTTGGGTAGCTTAATAGGGGCAGGAAGGATAGACAGGCAAATGGAATTTGTACAGAATATCTGAGTTTATACACCTTGGTGTAGCACAGCTGTAGGGATAGCTGCAAAGATGGTAATTAGTAGTGGGGCAGGTATGATTTCTAGTAGGGTAAGGGAGAAGGCACCAGTTGCAGGAAGCATGCAAGATGCATCTGATACCATAGTGGCAAAACTTATAGTAGTTGGCACACTGAGTGTATTTGTTGAAGGATAAATAGGACTCAGTACAGTACGTGTTAGAGAAGGCAGTGAGGCATTGCATATAAAAGAGGGAGCCTTAGGTCCAGTGATGGAAATAACAACAGTTGGGTCAGACTTGCTGATCTGTACTAAATCAGGCGTGAGCCACTTAGGCTCCTCAGTAAGAGATAAGCCAGAGTTAAATATAGCAAGGTCTTGGGCAAGAGATGCCAAAGAAGTAGAAGTAGTAATGCCATGCACTAGAGGCTGGGTGGCAGGGAGATTAAGGTAGATGGTAGAGAGACCAGGAATAAGGTGCAAAAAGGCACCAACTTTGCTGTTGACAGTTGTAGCTCTAACCATATCAATAGTGGCGAGAATAACATGCCTATCTTAAAAGAAGACAGAGTGAATGACCGTGGAGGCCAAGGACTAGTGGATCCTGTCCTGTAATTGTACAGCAGTAGTAGTAAGAAGAGCAGCATCTCTTTTGATAATGAGCCAATGCTCAAGTATAGTGAGGGCTATTTTCTTGTCGGCAAGGGGCTTATCGAAAGTAGATAGGGATTTAAGTGACTTAGAGCCAGGCTTTGTAGGTTTCTGAGGAGGATTCATTGTCCTCCTGGTTATAGTAGTTTAAGAAGAGAGACCTGCTGGGCCAGGAGGTTGGGTAGGAGAAAGGGTAGAAGGTAGGAGAGGAACAGGGAGCTACTCTGGAGTGTCAGTACAACAGGGGCTCCCTCAGGTATATGGTTCCGAAGAATGCAACTGCACTAAACTTCAAATCTGTCGAATACAGCTCTTGCAAAGTGTAAAGAATAAAAGGAAAAGGTGAAACTTAATATCATTAAGCTCTGGCTTATCTCAATTAAAGTCTCTGGAGAGGATGTTGATTGTATTGGGGTAGGAGAGTTCTTGTATAATATTTAATTTGTCAGACTTATACTAAAAGCTGCTCCATCAGGTTACTCCGACCAATATGAGTTTGCCCTTCTCTGCAAGGGTTGTCCGGTACCATTACCGTGTCCACGAGGGGCCTAAGGTGTTAGCTTACTCTAGCAGGAATTTCCTATATACACATCCGTTCATGCGAGGTGTGTACCAATGGACCCACCAGGGTGAAAGATTATGCGCATCAGAGTCTCTCCACTGGCTAACGGTTGAGACTCCT